TCTCTCTCTCTCTCTCTCTCTCTCTCTCTCTCTCTCTCTCTCTCTCTTCCTTGCTTGTTCAGTCGTTCGCTCAGTAGGTCCAACCTTTTTTTTTATTTGAAGGTCCCTTCATGCTCGCGGCTTTAGCATCAGCACTCCCTCGATGTAGGGTCGCCCCTATCTTCCTTCCTCTCGGCTACCCTTCACGATATTAAACCCTGTAGGATCCAGGGATGTACAACGCGGAGCATTTTCATGGTTCCCGTTGGCGAATATATTCTTGTCGTTAACCTTCAAGAACGTGAAGCAAATTTAAGCTATTCGTAAATGCTTGCTTGTTGGGAATATATTTTTAAACAAACAGACCTCGTGTAGTCGTGTATACACGAGTGGTGTACACTGTCCCGTTAAAACTACTTACATAGCGATACTGTCATCGTACTTTTACGTTTAATGTCAATCGATAGCATCATTATGTAGGAGAGGACATAAGTTACGTGGTATAAAATTCGCAATTCAATGCACGCAGTGCACTTTCTCTTCGATTAAGAATGATATTATACAGGTAAAATAGACACTGACCGGGTCACAGTTTGCCCATTGATTCGATCAAGTTAAATCGCATAAGGAAACCTACTTCGTACATTGAAAAACATGGTCAAATTCTCTCGTATCACCAAAAGCGCTCTCATAGGCCAACAGAGATAGTTGAGAAGAAAAACGGCGAGAATAAAGTTAAATTCTATAGAACCCACGTCGACAAAGTACTTATCGACCGTATCGTAGCAAGAGCAATAGGCGCGGGGCACCGTGATCGTATCGGACGGTCGTGCGACGGGTCTACCCCCACCACGCGATTCTCTGTCCCCACTCCGCGGGTACCTCCCCTACGAGTCTAGCGAGCCGCGTTTCGTCTCAGTCTGTCGCGCGCCGCCAACGGGTCTGGTTGTGTGTTTCGTTCACGGTGTGCGGTGGTGGTTGTTCACGGACGCGCGTGTGTGCGTGTGTGTGTGCCCCTGTGCGCGTTGGCGTGCGTACATGCGTGTGCCTTCTACGGTGCCACAGTGTGTACGTGCGTCTGATACTATCATCGTGGCCTCTGCTTTCAACCGTTCGCACACAGAAACGGTGTGACATCGAGGCATGACAGCAACGCGGGAGTGTTACCCCATACGGTAGGAAAAACTTGGTTCTGTCGTGCTTCTTACGCCGACCGTCGATCGTGTGCAACTCCGAACGTTGCCAGGTTAGAAAAAAACTCGAACCTCCTTCGTCTAGTTAGAACGTGTTCCGAGAACGGGCACACTTGGCCACACGGATGTTTTATCCGAATCGATACTCCCTCCGGCGGGCATTTCGTATCTTGCGGAACCGTACACCGGATATACACTTTTCCTTGAACACGAGTTCGAAACAATGTGACAAAAGATAAACACCTCGTCATAATCTGACACGTATCTCGCCGTCGCGTTGGTACTCCTTTACCGTGGTTATCCGTCGATCGTTTCGCCAGACTCTGTTCCGCTACGTCAATGCTTCTCTCAACTCATGCTCGTCACGCGTTCAGGCTCGCTGCAAACAGACTTCGCTAAGGATAGTTGCATGACACACGATTCACATTCATCGTTATTAACATGGGAATGTTGCCATTGAACGAAATTTCACTCTGCCCAATTATTTTTTTCTTTCTACATTTCTCGGTGTTACGAGGCGCGCTCAGGCCAAAAATGCCAAAAAAACCGGTTGCGAAATTTAGAGTACGTAGGTACGCGTGTATACTGGTCCCTGGTTTGCTGAATATCTCCGGAGTGGTTTATCAGAGAACCGTGAAAACTAATGTAGGAATTTATGTTTTTGGGTCATCGGTGCTATTGTATTTTTAGGACAAATATTTAGAACTTTTTCAGGATTATCGTTCATTTCATTGATTCTTGAATTTGAGTATATTCGAACATAACCTAAGACGTACATTTTTACGACTACGTTGCCAGCTTTTGTTCATCGTTAATATTTGACGTTTCGTCAGTTTTTCAAGATCGTGTTCTTTCCTCTATGATACAAAAAAAAAAAAAGTGTTAGAAAGAAGCATCGATTCGAAAGATACGGCGTACGTAGAGCTACCTACGAGAACAAAGTTAGCGATGCTCGATGTAAGAATGAATTCCCTACAGGTTATCGAAGATTTATGAATCATGAATTAAGTAAAGTTTCTCCAGTTGCTTGCGATAATCGATAGGGTAGATAGAAATATAGATCGATGGAAGGAGTGTAGTTCAAGCAGGAGTGTTTAGAGATACATCTGTGCAGTATTGCTAGAATATTGTCTTTTCTTTTGACCAAACGTTATTTTTTTTTCGAAATCTCGATAGATTTTTTTTGTCTCGTGTATACCTTCTCTTAGTTGGAACATTGAAAACGTTTAAAAATATTTGCAATTTCTACAAATAATTTCTGATCTGTTCGATAGAATAATTTGAATTTCACTCGAAGCTTGAGCCAATGCACCCACCGGTGTGTACCGGCGTGAAGATAGTCTCGTATCGAGACTCGAATCCGTTCGAAGCCATAATTTCGTCGTGTGCTCGTTGTTGCGTCGTTCTTATTTCTATCGATAACGAAGTGTACAGGGAATCGAACCGATTGTGTGCGTGACCGAGTGACACGAACCGAAAAGGTTACCAGGTATATATTCTTGCGCGTTATTTCTGTCATCTCTGAAACTGCTTCGTGAAACATTAACCCGTAAGCGAAGTGTATTCGTCATTGGTGAAGGGTAAACGCGCGACGATAACTACCTTGAACCGTTGGGGAATTAACGGGCACGAATACATCTCGTAATTCTCGCGTCATTTTATTCGAGGGAAATAATTTTAACATTTTCGATGATCGAGTTTGATCAGGATCTGGGTTGCGAGAAATTACAGATTGAAAGTAGGACGTGTTAGTGAACAATGTTAAGGCCAGGTTTACGTAGAGTTTTTTTTTTTTTATTAGGGATGTTTTTTATGATTTATTGGAATTAATTGGACGGCTTAGACAAAAATAAATCTGGACACTAGCGTAGCCGTCTGGTAGCGATTAGTCGATTTTTTGCCATGGCAACCAATACTTCGTCAGCTATTATTGAGACAAGATCGCGTGCTCTCATAATTTATAAGAATTGTGAAACATAATATAAGTATCAATTAAGAAGCATTTCCGAAAAATGAGAAATATTGTCGAATTCTATTAAATATCCAATCGCTACGCTCTCTCTACGTCTCACATTCGAGCATTTATCGACGTTTGGGTTATCATCGAATATTAACATTCAGATAATTGAAACATCGATAAATGCCAGTTTAAGACCGCCAAATTGTAGTCCTTATCTCTGTTCGCTCAAGTTTTTCCGTTAATATTATTTTTAAATAGCCAACGTGATCGGACGTCCTTGGAACGTGATTCACCGGAACAAAAGTTAGATAGTAAAAATTAATACAATGACCATTGTTGGCGGACAATTTTTGACGCGCAGTAGACTATGGATTCGAGTACAAGGTGTGCATACAAGGCGTCTCTGTGCTCCGTTTGTTTCTTTCTTCCGTCGCTTTCCTTCCGCGGTTTCTCTTTCTTTCCTTTGTCACATCAGAAGGATTCTACCGGCGATCCATGCTTCGCCCATCCGGCCATCCGCCGAAAGAAATGCGATACTGTCGCGATAAACAATGTGCCTTCACCTTCTCCCTCGTAACGTTTCTTCTTCTGTTTCGCGCGTCGTCACGTTCCCGAACATGGAATTTTTCTGGTCTACGTTGCCTTCTTGATTCTGTTGCGTAGTAAACGAGATCAGATGATCTTGAGGGCGATACTCTAGTTAGGATTTTCATCAATTAATTATGTGGCTCTATACTCGATCGTTTATTACCCCGATTTGAACAGATATACAGTCAGTGTAAGAAGTATGCGTGCAGCAACCAATTTAAAATAAAATTAATAGAGAAAAGAAATAAGAGGTTAACATTAAGAGTAACAAACTTCGATTTACGGAAAATCTGCTCGAAAAATACGTAGGAATGTTGGTTAATTATTTCTCTACCCTAAAATTTATTAATCATATAAATATATGCAGTCTTATTTTGAATTGGTTCCTGTACGAATACTTATTACACTGACTGTACTTACTCGTAATTTTGGTAAAGTACCAACCTTCCAAGTCCTCAACCTGATCTCTATTTGTCCTTGGTTGTTCGAACGACAAGCCGCGGCAGCAATTATTCGTTATTCCAAGCTCTATCGGCGTGCAAAGCCTCATCGATCGACTCGACTCGTATCTAGGGATCTTCCCTTGTAAGGATGCGAGAACCGTAGGCACCGTTCCCCGGGATGGGCGATGTCCACTTCCTGAAAAAACCCAGGTGGACCCTGCCGCCTTTCTTCGGCTACCACCTGCCCCGTCCCTCGCAACAAGCCGTTCTCGCCAGCGCGCGCTCTCCGTGCAGACGATATTCCTCATCCAGCCTGGCCTGCCGTCTCGTTTCGAAACGAGAATGCGTGAGCTGTAATTCCACGTCGATCGATAAAGAAAACGTTTTCGATTCCCCTCGCGTTTTCTAGCAAGAACGAACGGGTGAACCGTAGCCGTGCGCCTCGGTTCCGATCTAACGAAATATTAACGACAACTCCGCGAACGTAGTTCTCGGATTGCCTCTATTAGTAGCGAGCCGTACGGGGTGGAGAAAAGTTGGTTGGTTCTCGATGAGGATTCGCGTGAATTTGCAGTAAATTTGAAAAGTAAAATTTGGGGAACGTTACGTTAGTAAGAGTAGTTTTAATGGTTTGTAAATGTATCGGGTTGTCCAGAAAGTTCGTGCCAATTTTTAAGAAAACTTCAACGGCACATTTGAATTGTGATATATATTTATTGAATTACGTACAGTGGGTGTAGATAGTATTCGTACACCGATCAATTTCCAAAGAACAAAAAACTGTGTAAAATTGTAATTTATTAACTTATTTTTTTTTATAAACAACGACATTCTACGTATTCTCGGAAATGTCTAAAATAGATAGATTACAAGAAAAAAGGAAAAAATAGCTATTTGTGTAAGTTGCAAAATTAACAAGAAAAAAAAAACAATTAATCGATAGAAATATATAAGCAATAAGTATTCGGACAACTGTTTAAAAGTACTTTACTGGAAATTTGATGTTTTCTAATTCGCACGGAGCAATAAACTAATGTGTTTACGTTACAATTTCTGCTGTAAATGGTTCGTCATAAGAGTCGTCCAAATACTTATTGCATCTATACTTTCGCCCGCTTTTCCCATCTTTTTGTTAATTTCACAAATTATATTAACTAGTAAATGTCGTTTGAACTATATCTATCTTAGAGACTTTCGAGAATATATAAAGTATCACTGATTACAAAAAAAAAAAAAGAAGTTAAGAAAGTAAACAGAAAGTTCGCAGAATAGTTTTTTGAGAAATTGATCGGTATACAAATACATTCTACACCCACTGTAGGTACCATTTTGTTCCACAACCTTTCCACTTTTTAAGGGATGTACATATACATGTTACTTATTTTCAGCCATTTCGACGTATTCAGACCTGCATCATCTATCGAAAATCGCCATGGACATTCCGGACAACCGAATATTTGAAATCATGTCTAAAATATTCTCAAAGTTACAAGTAGCATTACATAAAGTCTCTACAAGAAACAGTTAATACTTGGACTCCTAATGTGACTTCTCCCCTCAACACGGTCACTGTCCGTGACCCGTATGCGGGTCACAGCATAGTGCTATTGAACGCGTCGCTAAGGGGCCCGACAGTGAACGTATTAAAATATTTCTTTTATTTACAATCAGTGTTCTCGTGAAGCTATTCGGTTATATTGTAGTAATCTACCGGTACAAACCTATAAGCTTACGTCGGTTCGATTGAAAAAGTCGTTTACTGCCGACCCTCCCTTTGTTAATCGTAAGGTCCCCTTGTTAATTGTCTGTCGGGCCTCTAAGCTCCAACGGTTCACGCTGGTCTTCATCGAACCAAGTTTCGACTTTCCGACCTAGCCCGGACTTATCCTCTTCTCCTTCCCAATGCTTCTGTCCCTTTTGGGACATGCCCCTTTGGAAGCCAAGAAATTTCCTTGAACACGGTCGTTGGACGATGACAGAGAGGACCGACGGAATACACTGGCCGTTTATTTTCGCATCGCGAGCGGTTCATCCGTGAAAATGACGCGTTTGTAGTGGCTAT